ACCCGCAACACTATTTTTTGTGTGGCAATTATGATCAAATTAGAAGCAATTTATCATATTATATAATTGAGTGAGTTAATGCTTTACGTCAAATCGGCAATATTTCAGCCATATCGTAATGATCATATTATATAAAAGGATATGATATTACTCTACCGACGCGAAAGACTATTATCTGAATTAAATCTAGAAATTCTTTTGTCTGTCTGTACTTTCATAACAAATTCTGGTAGATTTAAACTTAATTAATAATCTAAACACTCACATATAATATATACCTATATCATTCTATCAAAACCAGACACTGTTGATTCTGCTTCAGTTGATAACTGACCACCAAGGTATATTTTGTGTAATTATTATATATACACCTTGACTTTCTTTTGTTGCTTGATTATATACTGAGAGGAGTTTTAAAATAAGAATTGTCTTGTTTACCTAATTTTCAGTCACAATAAATATATGTTGAAACGATTTAAACTTAACATGCATTAATTAAACATTAACGTCTCTGAACTTCATCACCTGAATGGAACATTGATGTTGATATTTACATTTTAACATTTTAAACATTATAACCTAACATGCATAAATATGGTAATGAAATTGATGAGTGGTACTCATTTTATTTGCCTGGTCCAGAGAGCATCAAATCCCAGGTCAATGAACCGTGTCTGAGGCCTTACTGGTCCCTGGACGGGAAAGCAGAGAGGAGTTTCCCTCCTAAATTTAGCGCTCTAGGGCCAACACCGTTATGACAAGATATTGGCACCACTTTTGCCGTAACCTTTGATGATGTCACAGTAGTAAGCCTGCCACTGTTGATGTCATGTTCAACACTTACTTTCTTAGAGTGATGTATAGAAAACACAACATCTCCATGAAACAAATATCAGAATTTTTGTACTTTCCGTATGTATGTAGTATGACAAAAAGTAAGTTACTTTTCAGATCATGAGCAACCCACTCACAGCTCAGCACTAAAGTAGATCACTGATCATACAAGGGTGGTAATTGTATCATATCACTCTGTTCACTGTATTCATCTATAACAAGAGGCTTCTGGACAAATGGAATCTGGACTTTCAAACTACCATTGCTTTCTTAAATCTGCAGCATTTATATACTCCTGTGAAATTCCAGGTACATTTGGAAAGTCTAAATACTAATATCAGGATGAGATATGATCAGTCACTAGTCTGTAGTCTTGTAAGCTTAGCTTAAAATAGTCCATATGTTCCAATCAAATTATTGCAACAGGATAATGTCTGGCCCATAAGTCTCATAGGTTTTGGGCACCAACTGTATCAACCATCACACAAAACAGCTACTCAAATAATCAGAGTTGTGATGCCCTGAAACAGGCCTGTCACCATCTCTATGTCATGACAACCTTCACACAGCACAGCTACTCAAATAATCACAGTTGTGATGCCCTGAAACAGGCCTGTCACCATCTCTATTTCATGACAACCTTCACACAACACAGCATAGCAACTTGTTCACTCACAATTTGTCTCTATGTATCAGATAATAATGACAGTTATGATGCCCTGAAACAGGCCTGTCACCATCTCTATGTCATGACAACCTTCACACAACACAGCTACTCAAATAATCAGAGTTGTGATGCCCAGAAACAGGCCTGTCACCATCTCTATGTAGTGACAACCTTCACACAACACAGCTCCTCAAATAATCAGCTTTGTGATGCCCTGAAACAGGCCTGTCACCATCTCTATGTCATGACAACCTTCACACAACACAGCTCCTCAAATAATCAGAGTTGTGATGCCCTGAAACAGGCCTGTCACCATCTCTATGTCATGACAACCTTCACACAACACAGCTCCTCAAATAATCAAAGTTGTGATGCCCTGAAACAGGCCTGTCACCATCTCTATGTCATGACAACCTTCACACAACACAGCTCCTCAAATAATCAGCTTTGTGATGCCCTGAAACAGGCCTGTCACCATCTCTATTTCATGACAACCTTCACACAACACAGCATAGCAACTTGTTCACTCACAATTTGTCTCTATGTATCAGATAATAATGACAGTTATGATGCCCTGAAACAGGCCTGTCACCATCTCTATGTCATGACAACCTTCACACAGCACAGCTCCTCAAATAATCACAGTTGTGATGCCCTGAAACAGGCCTGTCACCATCTCTATGTCATGACAACCTTCACACAACACAGCTACTCAAATAATCAGCTTTGTGATGCCCTGAAACAGGCCTGTCACCATCTCTATGTCATGACAACCTTCACACAACACAGCTACTCAAATAATCAGCTTTGTGATGCCCTGAAACAGGCCTGTCACCATCTCTATGTCATGACAACCTTCACACAACACAGCATAGCAACTTGTTCACTCACAATTTGTCTCTATGTATCAGATAATAATGACAGTTATGATGCCCTGAAACAGGCCTGTCACCATCTCTATGTCATGACAACCTTCACACAACACAGCATAGCAACTTGTTCACTTACAATTTGTCTCTATGTATCAGATAATAATGACAGTTATGATGCCCTGAAACAGGCCTGTCACCATCTCTATGTCATGACAACCTTCGCACAGCACAGCTACTCAAATAATCAGCGTTGTGATGCCCAGAAACAGGCCTGTCACCATCTCTATTTCATGACAACCTTCACACAACACAGCATAGCAACTTGTTCACTCACAATTTGTCTCTATGTATCAGATAATAATGACAGTTATGATGCCCTGAAACAGGCCTGTCACCATATCTATGTCATGACAACCTTCACACAGCACAGCTACTCAAATAATCACAGTTGTGATGCCCTGAAACAGGCCTGTCACCATCTCTATGTCATGACAACCTTCACACAACACAGCTCCTCAAATAATCAGCTTTGTGATGCCCTGAAACAGGCCTGTCACCATCTCTATGTCATGACAACCTTCACACAACACAGCTCCTCAAATAATCAGCTTTGTGATGCCCTGAAACAGGCCTGTCACCATCTCTATGTCATGACAACCTTCACACAACACAGCTCCTCAAATAATCAGCTTTGTGATGCCCTTAAACAGGCCTGTCACCATCTCTATGTCATGACAACCTTCACACAACACAGCTCCTCAAATAATCAGCTTTGTGATGCCCTGAAACAGGCCTGTCACCATCTCTATGTCATGACAACCTTCACACAACACAGCTACTCAAATAATCAGCTTTGTGATGCCCCGAAACAGGCCTGTCACCATCTCTATGTCATGACAACCTTCACACAACACAGCATAGCAACTTGTTCACTCACAATTTGTCTCTATGTATCAGATAATAATGACAGTTATGATGCCCTGAAACAGGCCTGTCACCATCTCTATGTCATGACAACCTTCACACAACACAGCATAGCAACTTGTTCACTTACAATTTGTCTCTATGTATCAGATAATAATGACAGTTATGATGCCCTGAAACAGGCCTGTCACCATCTCTATGTAGTGACAACCTTCACACAACACAGCTCCTAAAAAAATCAGCTTTGTGATGCCCTGAAACAGGCCTGTCACCATCTCTATGTCATGACAACCTTCACACAACACAGCTCCTCAAATAATCAGAGTTGTGATGCCCTGAAACAGGCCTGTCACCATCTCTATGTCATGACAACCTTCACACAACACAGCATAGCAACTTGTTCACTCACAATTTGTCTCTATGTATCAGATAATAATGACAGTTATGATGCCCTGAAAAAGGCCTGTCACCATCTCTATGTCTAGCAACCTTCACACAACACAGCATAGCAACTTGTTCACTCACAATTTGTCTCTATGTATTAGATAATAATGACAGTTATGATGCCCTGAAACAGGCCTGTCACCATCTCTATGTCATGAAAACCTTCACACAACACAGCTACTCAAATAATCACAGTTGTGATGCCCTGAAACAGGCCTGTCACCATCTCTATGTCATGACAACCTTCACACAACACAGCTCCTCAAATAATCAGCTTTGTGATGCCCAGAAACAGGCCTGTCACCATCTCTATGTCATGACAACCTTCACACAACACAGCTACTCAAATAATCAGAGTTGTGATGCCCTGAAACAGGCCTGTCACCATATCTATGTCATGACAACCTTCACACAACACAGCTCCTCAAATAATCAGCTTTGTGATGCCCTGAAACAGGCCTGTCACCATCTCTATGTCATGACAACCTTCACACAACACAGCTACTCAAATAATCAGAGTTGTGATGCCCTGAAACAGGCCTGTCACCATCTCTATGTCATGACAACCTTCACACAACACAGCTCCTCAAATAATCAGCTTTGTGATGCCCTGAAACAGGCCTGTCACCATCTCTATGTCATGACAACCTTCACACAACACAGCTCCTCAAATAATCAGCTTTGTGATGCCCTGAAACAGGCCTGTCACCATCTCTATTTCATGACAACCTTCACACAACACAGCATAGCAACTTGTTCACTCACAATTTGTCTCTATGTATCAGATAAAACTGCAGTGACAACTTGTTTGCCTGGGCTAAAAACTTTACATTATCTAATAATAGCAACTTTTATGCAAGACTGATCAATGAATTGCCCTTTTCCTGTTGATAGCATGAAGCCATCCATCTCAGCCAGATCTGAATCAGAGCATAACATTTGCCCAGTTAATTCAGATATTCATGTCCTAAATACAGATGGAAAAGTGTTACAGATGGCAGATTTTTTCATTTGGGTGACAAAATAGCATATCGTTATTTATCGTTTGTTTTACACTATTTCCATTTTTCAAAAATGATTTCGGTCAAGCACTTGTGATCAAGCATACCTGAAGTATTAAAATCTTTTAAGTAGCTATGTCCACTAGACTTGTCCTTCAGTGCCTGGCAACAGACTTCCTCAGACCTGTCAACGTTTGACTGGAACCCTATCATGACAAGCCTTTGTCTTGGGGCAGGTGATTTGACTACAATACTCACATCCTCTTTTCATAAGTGGCTGACTGATCACCATACTCGTTCCGTATCCTGTCCAGGTCAGTCTGGTGACGCTTCCGGCTTGACAACAGCTGCAGGTGACACAAGGCAGCCATTACTCAAAATGGTCAAGTATAGTCCATGTATATTCTCAAAGTAGAAAAGGCAGAAGAGACTGTGATCATATATGTGATTCATACAGATTCATTGATAACTGAAAATTAATAATAACAATGATGATTATGATGATGATGATGTTTGTTGTTTAAAGCTACATTCAGCAATATTCCAGCAATATGACCATGGTCTGTAAATAATCGAGACTGGACCAGAAAATCAGTGATTGATATCATGAGCATCGATCAACGCAATTGGGCTACGATGACATGCAATAAATCAAATCATCAACTATGACCACCCAGTCTATTTAAATTATATGATAAATAAGAACATGATCAGTAATTTTTGCCTTTGAGTATATGTATTGGTTTAGTTTCATGGCTACATAGCGGACACTTGTTTAATTAACCACTGCTGACACTTCTAAGATTAACTACACCCAGTTCAACAGGGTTTCTATTATACATACTCAAGCTTGACATTCTTGGAAGCACCCATAAAAAAAAATTTAACCTTGCACTACAAATAAATGAGGTGTCCTATTTTACCTACACAACTTGTACAAGGCATCTATCAAACAAATAAACATCAACGTCTTCAATCCTACTTACAGACTCAGCTACAACATCCCTGTCTCTCTGTGTGCTGAGAATCTGGTCTGCCTGTAACACACAAACACATCTTGTGGAATCTGAATCATCTTGTGGAATATCTGTACCTTGTGATCCTGCATGATAGTCTTGGTGCATTGTATGTTTTTGCTGTCGTTAAATATCCACAGATATCTGGCATGGAAAAAATGTCTAAACATTTTGACACATATTTGAAGTATACAAGTTCGCATGGTCAAAGTAAGAATTCAGATTTGAGGTATTTTTTAAGGGTATTCAAGTTACTATCTCAGGCAAAGCACATCACTTGAATAGTAATGCATAGGAAAAATATATCCTACTAATTAATACAAGACACAAGTTTCATATTATATCCTAACAATGCATGTGTACAATCAAATGTTTCACCTTGACTCTGCCAGAAGAGTATTTGGTGACAATGGCTTTTATCCTGTCTATCTCAGCATCAGGGTTGCCGATTTTAGGGTCCCCATTAGTGAGGATAAGCAGCTGTCTCATGAGGGTTGCCTTCGCATTCACCAGGTTCAACAGCTCCACAGCTAATGTCTCGTTCCTTGCCACCTGCAACACACCGGAACTGTTACCACAGACACCTACAGACAACCACATTCAGAACAGTCCAACCATCACACAATAGGAATGTTTATGAAACAGCTTATTTTGTGTAAACTGACTTTAATGGTGATTGACAAAACAAAGTCCCACTAAGCACAAGCGCCAGATGCTTATATTTCATCCCGTGGCATGGTCAACTCAACTGTCTGCTGCAATTCATGTGAAGTTGCATGCTTTACATGTTCCAGGATCCGCTGATCATGGGATTGACTTTCACCCTGATTATGGCTTGTCATCACCATATCTGTGCTGGGCGGTTTCACCAGTGTGCATCCTCTAGATCTCCAGCACTTGCATTTCGGTAAACTTACACGAACACCTGGATCCATTCCCGCAGTTCTCGCGATCTCAAGTTACCTGACTTGAATTTTTACCAGCCAAACTGATTTGCAACGCTGCTAAGTCTATGGGACCAATCAAAATGAGTATTACAAACCAGCCTCAATGTTGGGTTGCTGATATCAACAAAATGGCGGACAGTCCCATCGATTATGATAGAGTTTGCGAGACATTCAACATTGAAAAACTTACCAACACGCAAAAGAAAGCCCTGAAAAATCTTTTTGATGGAAAGGATGTCTTCATGGTCCATTTGGTTTCTTGGCAATACACTTTACCTCCCTTACCCATTTCCTTTTTCCTCATCTTGACGTTTCATTGATCGGTAACATGTTAATGAAAATCAAGGGCGAGTAATTTGAGATCACGAGAATCCTGGGAATGGATCCAGGTGCTAGTGTAGGTTTACCTGGAGACAAAGAGGATGACTATAGAGCAGTAAACGTCTACCACCTGTGTCATTTGGGGCTTTCCTCTCACATGAAGCTGACAGCGTTGCACCAAGCTCATTTATTCACTATTACTGCATTGTGACAAAGCTATAATCCTGGTTTACAGGAAGTGCCTTCTAAAAAACAAGTAAGCTTAGCAAGGGAGGTGGGAAATGTTTGTGCCAACCTCCTGCTGATGTTCGTTGGTGAGAGCGAGGTAGTTGGACTTGAGAGTGACGTATTCATCTGCCAGATCCTTCCGGTCCTGCTCCATCTCGTTCAGCCTCTCTTTGGCATTCTTGGCAGACTTCATGTGTTTATCTCTCTCTGCCTCCGCTGTCATAAGCTGGTTCTCCAGTGTTATAATCTGCATCACATGGGGTAGGATTACGTTCAGTAGGACTTTGTGTCAAGGCATATTTTTCTACAAATACATTCAACTGTACTTACATTTGTTTTCATGTACTGAAACATCTTTTGTCAAAATAGCTTAATGCTAAAACCACTCAACAAGAGGATGGAAAGAGTTGTCTCTCTTGAACTGATCACAACAATGTGTTGAAAGATCTATTGAAGCTAAAAGTGAAAGCCTCGAGGATATATACAACTTTGCAGAATTGGATAAATCGTAACATCATTAATACAAATATTATGTTCAAAACAACAACAGCTGCACCTAAATGATGTTTATTTGCACTTTAGTGTGCTAATTTAGCCACGCCTCCTTGTTAGCACTTTGAAGATTTGTTTGGGTTGTTACAAATACAGACCTCAAAATACGTACTAGTAATTAAGTGCAACAGCTCTAAGTTTACGTTTTCACATATATTTTTTCTCTACAATTTTATTGTACATTATACAGGGTACATAATAAAAAATCTACTGCCATTTTTCATGCTACTTGCACTTTTAAATATTCTTGGTTCTCAGGTGCCAGTGTATTAGCACCCTTTTGCTACATATAACATGCCCCAGCACAACCTAAATTTTCAAAAGTCGTTATGAAATGAACAGTTTCTACTATCTGCTTAAACTTAAAATGTCCTGGGTTACCAAGTCCACCTTTGTGTTCACATATAGAACTTCGACCTACTTTATTGGTCAGTTCAAATCTGCCAGCCTCTGTGTCTTCTCGAACTTTGTTGTTCTCTATCTGCATCTCCACCAAGGACTGCGACACCTGCAGGGAGATGCAAGTACCATCATCAGCAGTTTCTTGTGTATACATGCAGACCTACATACTGGTTAAATTCATACAGAGTGTCTGATAAACACTGGACATGAATACACATACCCACACAATCATGTTTCCATGGCATGACTGAAGCCGCAACAGAACCACATTACATGATTGTGATGAACTAGTAAAATCCTAGATATTTTTTAGATTTGTATACTTATCCTGCATTACTCCTTTAGGCTAAAAAAAATATATTCTTGGTTCTCAGGCACCATTGCATCATCACAAAGTCTGCCACACGTTTCGTTTTTATTTCCATTTTCAAAACAAAAAACCCCCTTAAATATGCCGTGTCTCGAACATGCAACACCAACAGTGAAATGCTACAATGCTTAAAACTAATGCGATCCAATATAGCATGCAGTTACTTCTTTTTTCATGCACACTGCTTTGCTGCGCATCTTGTGTTATGGTCATGCTGGCAATAGGAGTTTGTGTGCTTGTTTTGCTGTTTGCAAATGTGGTCCATGAAAACATGAAATTTGCGATAAAACATCACTGGACTTAATGATTTACAAATTCAATGGTTTTTGTGTACTGTATGCAGGACAATGTTTCAGACACAGAGGTTAAGATTTACATGTGTATTTGTCTCCCCTGCCAGCGATTGCAAACAATTTTGATTGGGATATATAGTCAAACTACTTTAGTCAAATATGACTTTCAGCGACTCACTGTATGGTATATCATTTATGATAAATATATCCATTCTCTATCCACTAAAGTTTATTTCAAGGCATCAAAAGTGGTAATATGATTGTGGTTGCTGTAAATAACGGTGAGTTGTGTGATCTTCCGATCACTACACATCGCCGAAATGAATTGAAACAATATTGAATGACATTTTGAATAAAATTAATAAAATAGATTACAAACATAAGTCCAGATATATATGAAATCTTTTTACAACCAGACAGTGTAATTACAGTACGGATTTGTTGACATGGTATTTCCGGTGTTACATGCTCAAAGGAATGTCTTGGTGTTGGGGAAAAAAACATAAAGAAAACTCTTCAACCCTGTGTATAAGATGCCCCCTCCTTGAAAGCCCCCTAATTCTAGTTATGAAAAACTCGCCTTATATACAGCGATATACAGATTTGGATTCTTACAAGTTTTTTTAAGCCTAATGCAGTAAATGTAGTAAGGAGTAATGCAGGATAAGTAAAACATCTAGTCAAATCCTACATATTTTTAATTTGTATACTGATCCTTCATTACTCCTTTAAGTAAAAAATGTACATCTTACATGAATCACATGACAGGAGTTTGCATGGGGTATCTGGTAACCAACTGCACAAGAGTTACCTACCTTGAGTTTTTCCTCCTCGCTCATGAGCAGCTGCTTGGACAAGTCTGTTTTTGTGTTGGCCAGGGCATTAAACTTGGCTGTCATCTGGTCAAGGCGCATGGCCAGTCGGTCATTCTGATCCTTCAAGACAAGCTGTGGAAGAAGAAGCAGGCAATAAACACAAAGTGCACACAACAGCACTGTAAAAACCATCTTCATGACAGAAAGGGGATATAACACGTATGAGAATCAGAATGAGAAAAAACATTTTCATTCTGTATTTCGACTTGCATACACCAGGATAGACTATGTTTTGGTGGAAACTAACTCCAATATATAACTAGGCAGATGGACTAGCAGTTTGTCAGTATTACCATCATGCAATAAATCAGTACTAAATAGCATTGTGCTAATACACCAGTCTGCGCCCAAAACTTTGAGACCAGTAGCCCGAACTTGGCTCTTAGCATCATTTTCAGTAGAATTGAGGGCTATTATGTTGACTGTGCCTCACATTTTCTGACTGCAGCCTCCTGACTTCATCTTTAGCATCTCCGAGATGTGCCCCCACAGACTGGGCCATCATGGTGTTGGGCCCCACCCCAACCTGGGTCTCCATGTCGATGATCCTCGCGCGGTACTGGGTCTGAAGGCTCTGCAATGCAAGATAACTTGCTATAATATGTGACTTGACTTTATCATCTTCTGCTATCCAATCGATGATAACACTAAATTTCATCAGGGACGTTAGTTAATGTTACCTGTGCAAAGTTGCTATGTTGAGATTGCACTTTAATGTTACCTGTGCAAAGTTGCCATGTTGAGACTGCACTTTAATGTTACCTGTGCAAAGTTGCTATGTTGAGACTGCACTTTAATATTACCTGTGCAAAGTTGCTATGTTGAGACTGCACTTTAATGTTACCTGTGCAAAGTTGCTATGTTGAGACTGCACTTTAATGTTACCTGTGCAAAGTTGTCGTTGAGTATGGGGAAGTTCTTTATCTGTGAAAGGTTGGTAACAAACTTGATGACAGCAGTGAGTGTCTCCGGTGTGGTGACTGGCTTCAGACAAACCAAAGCTCGGGTCTTACAGTTCCCGCCGAGCTCCTCTCTCAGTAGCTGTGTGAGCTTCGACTCACTGAAATACAGCAATAATTAGCAACACACAGTTCAACCAGACTGTATCTTATTGAATCAAAATACATGTCAACCTGCTAAAAAAGAATAAATTCTTATTATACATCAAGAAAAACTTCTATAATTGCTCAGTATTGGATTGGCGATTAAATGGATGCACCATCTTGTTTTTCAAAACATTTACTTTTTTTGTTTTGGAGCTGGAATCTTTATTCAAAGTTCACTCTAAATGAATTAAGGTAGGTAAGTGATAACAACATAGATAGGCAGTTTAGGTATATAGGTATAAAAAATATATAACTGATGACCCTGTCAGGGAAAGGGTTGGATGCGAGGGATGTGGTCATCTGATGGAGTATAGATACATACCTAGAACTGTACCAGGACATACCTATAACTGATGACCCTGTCAGGGAAAGGGTTGGATGCGAGGGATGTGGTCATCTGATGGAGTATAGATACATACCTAGAACTGTACCAGGACATACCTATAACTGATGACCCTGTCAGGGAAAGGGTTGGATGCGAGGGATGTGGTCATCTGATGGAGTATAGATACATACCTAGAACTGTACCAGGACATACCTATAACTGATGACCCTGTCAGGGAAAGGGTTGGATGCGAGGGATGTGGTCATCTGATGGAGTATAGATACATACCTAGAACTGTACCAGGACATACCTATAACTGATGACCCTGTCAGGGAAAGGGTTGGATGCGAGGGATGTGGTCATCTGATGGAGTATAGATACATACCTAGAACTGTACCAGGACATACCTATAACTGATGACCCTGTCAGGGAAAGGGTTGGATGCGAGGGATGTGGTCATCTGATAGAGTATAGATACATACCTAGAACTGTACCAGGACATACCTATAACTGATGACCCTGTCAGGGAAAGGGTTGGATGCGAGGGATGTGGTCATCTGATAGAGTATAGATACATACCTAGAACTGTACCAGGACATACCTATAACTGATGACCCTGTCAGGGAAAGGGTTGGATGCGAGGGATGTGGTCACTTGGTGCAAAGACAGCAGGGCCTTGCTGAGGGTTGGCCCCTCTCGGAGTCGGATGTGAGACGGATCCTCGCCTAATTTCTCGAGTCCCGGTAATTCAACGATGGTAAGCCTGGACTTACTCAGGAGGGAGCTCTCACCAACATTCTGAAACAACAAGGCAGACATTCTGAAACAAGCCAGACGCTTTAGATCTTCAGGCCATTATCTGGATGACACAAGGTACAAAATCAGATTACAATGTTTTTAAATATTTTATCAGTTAAAATTCCAAACTGTGACATTTACTCCCTGCACTGTTGTCAATTGAGCATTAGACAAATCTGAACCCCGAACATGGCTGCTGGTTAAACATGAATTCCCAGAAAAGGCTGTGACAAGCATCCGTCTCTGCATATCCTAGATGTGAGGCTACACATACACTGTCCACAACAAGTTTGGATAAAGAAGACCCATGAAGACCTGGGGTAGAATAGGTCTTCAGCCACCCATTCTTGCCGTTAAAGGCGACTATGCTTGTCATAAGAGGTGACTAACAGGATCGGGTGGTCAGGCTCACTGACTTGGTTGATGCCTGTCATCGTATCCCAATTCCGTGGATCGATGCTCATGATGTCAATCACTGGATTGTCTGGTCCAGACTCAATTATTTACAGACCACCGTCATATAGCTGGAATGTTGCTGAGTGCAGATTTAAACAACAAACAAACCAAACTTGCACAAAGAAGGGTTCTATCATAGCACATTTCAAATCTGTTAAGCTTATAATAGGGATTTACATATTGCATGACCAGAGATGGGACCCCTGTGAATATGTGGAGTCATAAACAATCATGAAAAAACCACAGGAATGTATCAGACATTGAAGTGCGTGTATTTAGTCACACTTGGAAGCAAACATTGTAGAGTATAACTGGTCCCTTGCAGAAAATGACATGGACCATAGAAAACAATGGTGATGCTGCTTCTCTAATCATAAATCATTAACCTAGAGATCTTTGTTATAATGATGCTAATATCAGGTGAATGTTTTAATTCATCAATTCAGCCACATGCATCTTTATGCTGACAGGATGTAACACATTGTACCTGATTATGTCAAATTGGAATATCATGTATGTAGCTGCATATTAACCTTTCAAGATTTGATTATTTTTTGACATGGAACCTGTACATTAGTTTCCTCACACTGGAGTAGACCATGACACATCGTCTACAAGGTGCAGGCAGTTGTAACAAACTATTACCATTATCATTAACAAGTTTCTTAATACAAATTTTCTACTTTTTTCAGGTTTTCTCTTCCATGTGATCTACCATCACATCATAACAACAAATTCTGAGATGCAAAAGCCTGCGGAGGATACCATTTAAACCTTTTAAACGTTAAACAAAATGGACTCCCCAATTTCTGTTGTTAACACACTTAGTCCAGGCTGTCAAAAGTTCAAAAATACATAACAAGTCAATGAATACATCCTACCTGTTAGAGTGGTATAAAACATTGTCCATGTTCGTGTACGTATCTGGAATATGTTCTTATTGAGAAGTAACCAACGGAAACATCGTGTTGGAGTAAATATTTCCCTCAGTATTCTGACGAACTCCTGACAACCGAGCCATATATTCTACACAACTTTCAACAATGAGCCATGACCAGTTTACAATGAAAGAGGGACTGGCAGGCAAACTTATGGGTTCAGTTTGAAGGTGTCTGTGAATCAACTACCCATGCTAGAGTCAACATCTTTGAAAAGTCCTGTGTGATTGTTAGGGTGCCCGTCCATATACAATGTAAACACACCAGGCCACACTCATTGTCACAGAATTGGTTATTAAATGGCTGCTGTAAAGGCACAGGGAGAATTGAAATTCCTATCACTTTGCTTGTCATTGTTGAATGAGCTATCATCTATTCACACCCCAATGTCTGTCAATAATGAAAGCTTTCAATGCCTCCATATGACATAAAAGCGTGAATTACGAGATAGCAGATCGCCACCATGGGTAAGTATGGCTGAGATAACAGAAGATTGTCTGGGGATAGACTTGCAAATGTTTACTTCTCTAGGCTGGACAAATAACAAGTAATTTCTTCCTCAAACTGACAATGATAAGTAAAATCAAACTGAAATCAAGTTGGGCTTTTCAACATGTTTAAGGCAGGATCAAATTTTAAAAAGTTTGGTGTGTTGCAATAACCTTGAGATATTGGACTTAGAGTGAAAAATCACTTTTTGACTTCTGATTATATTTTAAAAGAAGTGTTTCTCAGGAACACATACATACAATTGACAAGCTTCAGTTCCTATCTATTACAGAGATACATGGCATCAAACATTTTTACTCATTGTCTACAAAGTCCCAGTTTAAGACATAAATAATTGCATTTTTAGATATTATGTATGATTAATTGAAAGTAGACATGTACGCTGAAATGTTTTAAAATAATGTTTTTAATACATTACAAACTAACAAGAGAAAGAAAAGATTTTTTTGTAGTCCGCACACATGGCGATTTTTACAGAAGTAAGTTGACGTCAAACATATGCCTTTATGACGTCACAGCTTAAATGTATCCTTGCACCCATTAGTTCCCTTTTCTCCTGATGGGTCACAAATATTGTGCATTACTTGTCACAAATTATCAGGTTATATATATTTTGTTGTTAATTTAGGTAATCGGGTTATGCACACATAGTTAAAAAGGGTTACAGAAAAAAAGACAGTGAAATCTTCTCCACCAATGTTTCAGCTTGAAAAACAAACACAAGATCAGCACCAGCTACAGTATTTCTTAAATATTATGTGTCTTTATTGTTCATATTAATCATGTTTCTTGCTGAGACTGTAATGATGAAAATTTCCCTCTGGGTAATGAAGTATTACCTTATCATATGCTTTTGTTCTATTATAGGACATTTTGGGGAGGATGCACCTCTATAATAAATAGTTGCTCTTTCAACAAATTCTACATGTTTTTAATTATGATGACCATTTTTATGCTTAAGCTTTGATAAAATACTGTCAGCTTACTTCAATACATCAAAACATTATTTATGTCAAGCAGTTCAGTAAATATCATCATCCTTATTCATCTGTTAAATGAGATAACTGATGAACAATATGTAATTTATGTATACACATCCACTGTCCAGAAGGTTTTCAAACTTCTGTAATATAAATAAAATAAAATAAAATGGTCACTTCTATTTTAATCACCACAATTATCATTATATTTATTGTTCATATCAGTCTAGTATACAAGTGTTGAGGTTAGCAGCAGACTGCAATGTTAACACACCCATTGATGATCTGATCTTTCCCACCTACCTCTGTATTTTTGTCAGCAGAAAATAACTACTCACAAGTGATTCATGGGCATGTGATTGGCTAGACAAGCAAATTTTGTTTTGCGTTTGTGTTTCAATAAACATAAAACTTAATGCCCTACTCTTTCCTGATTGGCTGCTTATAGAATAGTCAGGGATTGTGTTGCATTATTACGTTGAATGATGTCATCAATTTCATACCGTTGTCTACAGTCTTTGTGTGTTCAATACTTCATACTGAATTTTAAACAAAGAAGATATTATTATTTTAAGTGAACATGAAAAATGAAGTAGATGTAAAAATCCTAGTAAAGTAATGACTCAAGAGAAATACACTGACAGGAGACCAAAAAAAGCATTTTACTCTGATCAAAGATTCAATTTTCAAAAACAAGAAGTAATTTGATTTTTTCTTTCACATTATTAATCATTATTACATATTTTCGAACTGTTGCAAACTGTAAAAGTTATACAATCAAGACAGGGGAAATAAATCTGTGTCACAGCAACATCATCACTGTAATGTATTACTGGGTGGTTGGCAAAATGGATCGTCTTTTAAACATTGATATGTTTCATTTATTTTGACACATTACTTCAACACTTCTTCAATACAGAGTTAACTTTAGTACTTCACTTGCAATTACAGATTTCTACATGCTGACAAAAATCTGATCCAAACTGTATAATATGTATGGTATGTGTCACACTGATTTTTCTTCCAATTAGATAGTTCATAAGGCATGTTGTCCTTGTCTTCGTCCCAATGATAACAAGAGACTGCGTGTACAGGCTCGGGGCTACATTTCAACTGTGATAGGCTGCAATAAGCTGTGCTATCTTAATCCTATTGCCATTGATGAAAAATCACAAACCCAGATCAAACCTTGCAATTCAAATATGTTGATGAACTTATGTCCCATTTTCAATGTAATATATTATTGTTCATGCAAGTCTGTGTTTGGCTGATTGAGTTTTAATTATTGGTTTTACATGATCCACAATTCTTTAAATGTGAATTGTACTGAAAGATTGACTCAAAGATTAATTTCTGTGATCATTTGATCTGGGTAATTTAAGTATTTAGATTTTAGAGATGTTCACACATAATAACTAAGTACTCTTATATTTGTCTGTGTCACTAGTCATAGAGGTAAATATGTGCAAATAATCTGTAGACAATACCCATATATCCTTCAAAACCCAGTCTTAGAAATCATCAACACAGCTGTTATACACTTTCCAATTCTTCTCCATTTATCAACATTCCACATTGAAGTCTTGACCCCCTGGTAAACACATGGTGGATTATTTGTGTACATATGAAAGTGAGCAAATGATAGATAACGTACATCTGTCAGAGGCTAGTCATTTCAAGATGCAGTTATCTAAGATTTGATTGAAAGTACAGTGTATTCAGTAGTTAAGCAGAAACTGTCAGATTTCACCATTACTCACCTGCCTACCACCATCTTTGTCCCAATGCCGACCGACTAGATATTGACAAGGTGATCAATGGAATCGACTATAATAAAATACATACTGCAGAACCTCCATAGGTGAGGATGAACTTTGTAGTGTTTGGGCAAAATATCCATGATAACATTCAAACTAATGCATATACATACTATTCACTGTCAATAATATCTAAGAGAAGGAAAACTACACAGTAGACTCTGGTAATATTGATTGTTGATAGATTTTTCTTTATTCATAGTCATGAGGTACAATGTTTCATTAGTAAATTCTAATGTAAGAAAGATCATTATAGTTTACCAGCGAAAACTTTCAATGACCTGTGAAAATAAATTTGT